AAGGAATGGCCACTACATTGATAAGTCATTTATTACTGTATATCCCGGCACTCAATCACTCAAACACTTACCACTCGGTTATAGTGTGGACCAGTTGTACGCCTATCCAGACTATATGAGTGGTAAAGAACTTAAATCTGATATCGGATTAATAAAATTGAAACAATGGATACCACTTCCGACTAAACCAAATACAATCATATTTATGAATGCCATTTGTTTGCCAACTAATAATAGTATTAAAAGTAGTAATAGTATATACAAACCGTCTGAAAAGCTTAATCAGTTGGCACTGGTAGCTGGTTTCGGTGCTTATGATAATGACGGGCGTACTGTTGATCTGTTACATATGGGTTGGGTATATATAATATACAATAATGATGAATTATGGTATTATATGACACGTTATCCCAGAAATAATGGTACACTAATATGTAGTGTAAGTATAATAATTAGTTATTTATCAGTTTTGATAATGGTTTACGATTTCATGGGCGGGGGGGTGGAGGGGAGGATATGTGTGGTCCAAAATGTAAAAATCTCGAAAAAAAAACTTGAGTGTATAGTTTTGGTGAACTATTATTATTGTATTTTTTAGCAAAAATTTTTACCAAATTTTATTCTAATCATTAGTAATTTACTATAAATACACTATGAATTCTCTATAAATTCTCTATAAATTTTCTATAAATTTTCTATAAATTCTCTATAAATTCCCTATAAATTCTCTATAAATTCCCTATAAATACCCTATAAATTCTCTATAAATTCCCTATAAATTCTCTATAAATTCCCTATAAATTCTCTATAAATTCCCTATAAATTCTCTATAAATTCCCTATAAATTCTCTATAAATTCCATATAAATTCTCTATAAATTCAATATAAATTCTCTATAAATTCCATATAAATTCTCTATAAATTCCCTATAAATTCTCTATAAATTCCATATAAATTCTCTATAAATTCCATATAAATTCTCTATAAATTCCATATAAATTCTCTATAAATTCCATATAAATTCTCTATATATATTCCCTATAAATTCCATTTAACTCCCTATAAATTCCTTATAAATTTTCAAAAACTTCATGAACTTAAATATCCTATTAATTAATTAAAAAAATCTTTACTTGATTGCTCAATACTTCAAAATGAATTTGTCAAGCTATTAAAATTTCTATTATAAATAATAGTTTAGAAAAATGAAGTTTTTTGTAAAAATATATATAATCTCTCTCTTTCTCTCTCTCTCTCTCTCTCTCTCTCTCTCTCTCTCTCTCTCTCTCTCTCTCTCTCTCTCTCTCTCTCTCTCTCTCTCTCTGTATATACTGTATATATATTATATAATATATAATTGTTTCAAAAATTTGTTAAAAACAATTTATAGGGTGATTCTGGTGGTCCACTGTATCAGTATATTAACGGTAGGGCAGTGCTCATTGGTATCACTCAGGGCACTCAAAGATCTGATGATAAAAAATGTTTGGATCCAAAAGATAACTATAATACTATAACTTTTGTACGCATTTTACCGCATTTGGATTGGATTACAAACATTGTATCTAATAATTAGCTAATTATGATTTTTTTGTTGTAAATTTTTTGGTTAATTAGAAATAGAAAACAAAACTTTATTAAAACTTTAAATAGACAATAATTATTTTAAAATTCAATTTATTATTATATTAAATAATTATTATGCTAACAATTAAATTATAATTTGTATGTAATTTTGATTTTTTTACTTATAGTTTTTTTTGATATTATATTAATAAATTTATTTTTTTTTCATTTATATTTAGTCTAATAATTAAATTATAATTATAAAAAAACAATTTATTTACAATTTTGATTATATTTATGAAGCTATATTAATTAATTAATAGTTAAATCGCTGCTATCAATGGGATAATTAATATAAGTGTTGTCGATATTTACTGATTCTTGTGAATTATTTACCAATATTTCTATTATTCTTTCAAAACCAACGACTAGTTCAGCAAATGTTGGTCTCAGTAGCGGATCATCAGACCAACAGCTCAACAATACATTTGTATAAACTATTTGCGGACAATTCGGTGGTTTCGGCAAACGGTAGCCATGTTTTAAATAGTTTGCGATTTCCCAATTGGAAACATTAGGATATGGTGTCAGTCCTCGGGTTAACAGTTCCCATACGAGTACACCATAAGACCAGACATCAGTTTTGCTATCGTATATACCTTTTTCAAGACTCTCGGGTGACATCCATTTGACCGGAAGTTTACATTTTTGATTATTACTTCTGTAATAATCTTTATTAAACAAATCTCTTGATAAACCGAAATCTGCTATTTTAATCAATTGTTTATCATCAACAACACAGTTACGTGCGGCTAAATCCCGGTGCACGAAATGATGTTCCGATAGATAAGCCATTCCTATTGTATATAACATACAATATAAACAATTTTAAATTAGTTTATTATATTTTTTAAAAAAAGTATTTACCTTTTGCTGCGTCGATGGCAAACATCAGTAACAGTCTTACTGTTGGAGAAATGCTATCATTTCTAATATATGTTAACAGATCTCCATTTGCCATAAATGGTAATATAATAATTGGTTCACCGTTTGGTTCAAATGAGACACCAATAAGTGTTAAGACATTCAAATGATTGAAGTCTTTCATTATAAGGCCTTCTTTGAGAAAGGTTTCGATAGCATTAACATCGCTTATCTTAGCTATAAAATTGCAAAAATTAAAAGTTATATATATACAGTATATATATATATATATATATATATATATATATATATATATATACTGTATATATAGTTAAATAAATTTCTAAATTTTCCAAATAAATTATTAATAACATTTTATTTAGATTAAAAAAAAAGTTTTGTATTAATAATATGTTATTGAATATTTAATCTATTGGTAGTTAAAAAAAATAACAATTACTTATTAATTGATTATCAAATATTTTTCTAAACATAAATTATTTTATTTAATATTAATATTATTAAACATTAATCAATGCAAATCTGATTACATAATCTTATGGTTACTTATTTGATGGTATCTAATGAAACAATTTTTTTTATTTAAGATTACAATTATTACACAAAAAAAATATTTTTATTATTATTATTCTATAAATTATTTTATAATAAAATCTATTTAATTATACATTTAGTTTGAATATTGAATTACAGTTAATGTTTTTTTTGTACAGTTTAACATATTTACATAAAACTATTATTCATTAATATATCATATAGTATATATTGTTTATATAATAAATAATTAATAATCTCAACTAATATAGATTTATAATAATTTAATTGTTTTTAATGTAGTTTTTTTATTGCTGAACAGTACTGCTATTATTATTATTTTTAAAATAGTTAAAATAATTACCAATTAATTAAGTAACATTTTTTTAGGTAAAAAAATAATTTCGTAATAAATATTTTTTAAATTTATTGATTAACAGTGAAAATTAGTGATTTTATAGATTTAATTATATTTTGTAATATGTATTGAAGTTTTATTTGATTAATAATTAATTTATTATTTTTTTACATTAAAAACAATTAATATTTAATAAATTTTATTTTAGTATAAATATATTAATTGTATACAAAATATTTTACTGATTCACAGTTTTAAATAAATATAATATATATAATTTATATATATTACTAATTAAATAACTTTTGCATTAATACAACTATAATATATATATATATATTGTGTTTTAATATATTATATTTATTTTTATATATATTTATATAAATATACAAATTTTTAAAAACATATTTTGATGTCTCTAATAATTATCATTAAAACAAGAAAAATATTAATAATTTTATAGATTTTATTGTAATTGAATAATCATAAATGTATTATATATTTTTAGGTAATGTAGAAATATTTTTAGAAAAAATACTACTCTAAAAACAATTAGTGTTTAATAATATATAACTTTTTTAGTAGTATTTTAATTAAATATAAATATTTATTATACAGTATTACTATGATTTAAAATATTTACAAAACTTATTTTTGTTTATACTGTTGTATGTATCCTATTTTGTATAGTAGTGTAAAACTGTATATGTATTATGTTTCATTAATAATAGTATTACAATAGCTATAGAAATGGGGATCCAATAGTTTAACAAATAAAATTAAATTTCTTTAGAAAATTTCCTGAAAATTTTTCTATTAACTTTATTATTGAAATTTATTATTGAAACTTTCTATTTGCTCATCTCTTACTGTAATTCAATAATCAGAAAAATATGTATAAAATTATTTTTTATCAATGACTTTATATTGTTTAATAAATGCTAATTCAAACATTTTATAATTAAAGTGTGAAATGATTTATATATATATAAACATTATGTAATTTGAAAGATCTCAATATATATTTATAATATTTAATTTAATTTGTTTAGACTATGTTGGATATAAAGTATATCACATTATGATTACTTTGAGTTTAAATTAATTATTTATTATATATAAATAAAATATGTCAAAATTTAGTTTTATTATTATTAAATTTTCAAATTATATTAAAGTATTATAAAAATATTTTACATTTAGTAATAAATAATTTAATATCTTTATATACATATGCATATACTTTATATTTGATATTTTAACAATATCTATAATAATTAACCATTTTATGTAAATATGATAAACTAAAAATATTTGTATTAATGAAACAATATACTGTATATTACAAAAAAGTTAATTGTAATTTAATAACTAGATTAAATGTATATTGTTATTATTTTATTTAATATAACTTAAAAATAACTAAAAATTGTAAAAATAGTAATAATTAACGAGATTATAGATATAATTATAAATATATATTGATAACCAGTATATACTGTCTGTGTTTATTATAATGAATTGTTTAACAAATACAGTCAATTGTATAAAACAATTATTGATTATATGGTATACATTATATGCTATCATATCATCAATGGATAGTATAATATCACCGGAAGGGTGTGGTGTGGGCCGCGAGTCAGTGCTGATGAACGGCCAGTGTTTCCGCTGGTATGCAAACTATACACAACAACAGGACATACAGTTTGGACGATCGGCCAAACCGGGAGAAGTGCCGTTTGTGGCATATATTTTCAAATATATAAAATTATGGATAATTCCTTACGGGAGAAGGTATATCAAAATATTAATAGTATTAATAGTATTTAATAAATACTATATATTAAATGACAATTTATTTTATTTAATAAAAATACTATTAAAAAAATACATTATTATAGTATGTGTTCGGGTTCAATATTAAATGATCGATGGATTATAACAGCAGCACATTGTATATATAAGTAAGTAATTTATAAAAACAAAAAATTACATAAAAATTAAAATCAATACTAAAATTTTATTATTGTTAAACAATTTTTGATATTGTTAAATCATAAAATAATATAGATATAGATAAATCACTTAATAGTGAATAATTGTTTAAAAAATAATAATCTAAACCAAACAAAAAATAAGTTGATAGCAATTACAACACTTAATATTATATTCTTGTGATTGAAATCTAGTAATTAATTAACACAAAAAAAACAATATCTTTTATAAGATTTTTATCTAATTTGACACTATTTTATATATAACTTAATTATATTTACTTAATTAAATAAATTAAATTATATTGTATTATAATTTAAGAAATGGTTATTACGACAAATCGGATATTACTGTATATCCCGGCACTCAAACACTTACCACTCGGTTATAGTGTGGACCAGTTGTACGCACATCCAGACTATATCAGTGGTGAGGAAACTAAATCTGATATCGGATTAATTAAATTGAAACAATGGAAACCACTTCCGACTAAACCAAATACAATCAATCTTATGAATGCAATTTGTTTGCCCACTAATAGTAGTATTAAAAGTAGTAGTAGTGGTAGATATACACCGTCTAGTGATAGATATAAACCGTCTGAAAATCTTAATCAGTTGGCACTGGTAGCTGGTTTCGGTGATTATGATAATGACGGACCTACTGTTGATCTGTTACATATGGGTTGGGTATATCTAGTATACAATAATGATGAATTAAACTATTATATAAGACGTTATCCCAAATATAATGGTACATCAATATGTAGTGTAAGTTTAATACATTAATTAGTTATTTGTATATATATATATACATTCCTTATGTGAATAAATACACGATTTTACGGTAATGTAATTATAAAACTCATTTATTTTAAATGACCTATTATTGTACCGCTACAATATTATGCTATTATATATATATAATATTTATTATTATTATCACTTATAATTTAGTATTATATGAATACATTTACATTTATAGGGTGATTCTGGTGGTCCATTGTATCAGTATATTAACGGTAGGGCAGTGCTCATTGGTATAGCTCAAGGCACTCATAAAACTCATACCTCGTGTTTGAATACAAATGATTACAATAAACTAATATTATTTGTACGCATTTTACCGCATTTGGATTGGATTACAAACATTGTATCTAATAATTAGCTAATTATATGTTTTTATTTTGTTTTTAATTAGAAATAGAAGTTTTAATAATATTTTTTTATATAATAATAAAAAAAACAAAATATTATTAAAACTTTAAACTAAAAATTATTATTTTTAAATTCAATTTTACTATTCTATTATTTAATTATTATGCTAACAATTAAATTATAATTACAAAATAATAATAATAATAATTTGTTTGCAATTTTGATTATATTTATAAAGTTATTTAGAAAACATTAATTATTTAATTTTTACTTGTTTTACAAATACTTTAAACAAACAATCAATATTATAGAATATAATTAAATATAAATATTAATTAATTAACAGTTAAATCGCTGCTATCAATGGGATAATTAATATAAGTGTTGTCGATATTTACTGATTCTTGTGAATTATTTACCAATATTTCTATTATTGTTTCAAAACTAACGACTAGTTCAGCAAATGTTGGTCTCAGTAGCGGATCATCAGACCAACAGCGCATCAATACATTTGTATAAACTATTTGCGGACAATTCGGTGGTTTCGGCAAACGGTAGCCATGTTTTAAATAGTTTGTAATTTCCCAATTGGAAACATTAGGATATGGTGTCAGTCCTCGGGTTAACAGTTCCCATACGAGTACACCATAAGACCAGTGTTGTATTAATCTGACTACTTTGAGCCTATTGATTGATATTATAATAAAAAATTATATTTGAGTATATTCTGAGACAATAATATTCAACTCGATTTCAAATATAACATTCTTATAAGATTTTTAAATATAAATATGATACAATTTTTAGTTATTTTTAGTTATAAACATGAATTCTAACGGAAATGATATTTGTAATTGTTTGGAAAATTATAATTGTAGATTAAAATCTTATAAAGATTTTAAATGGACTGAAAGTATAACATTAAATAACTACCATCGATTTGCAGAAGCCGGATTTTACTCAATTGGGTTAGAAGATTATTTGAAATGTTTTAAATGCAAAGGAGGACTTTGTTTATGGTTACCAGGTGATGACCCATGGATAGAACATGCTAAATATTATCCACAATGTAGTTATTTAAAAGAAAAAGAAGTACTGTTTTTATTAATGAATGTGTTAAAATACAAAATGAAAAACTTTATTCTGAGAAATTAAAATGTTTTGAAATGAAAAATGTAATAAATGAAAAAATAGAAAGTAATTTATTGTGTAAAATTTGCTATACAAACGATTTTAATATTGTATTTTTACCATGTTCTCATTTATTAACTTGTTATTTATGTTCATTAAAAGTAGCTAATTGTCCAATATGTAATGCAGTTATAGTAATAAAACAAAAAATTTTTGTTTGTTAAAAAATAACTTTATTGTAAAATAAAAAATTATTACAAATTATTATTAAAACGTTCATTAAATATTTTTTCTCTAAATTTTTTTCTAAAACATGAAATATTTTCTCCAATAAGTTTACATTTAGTTTCATAAATAAGTCTTTCCCATATTATCCAATGCCAATTAGAAATTCTTGCTTGTTTTGAAGCATATGACCAAACATACATCGTTTTAACGTGTACATTTTCATCAAATGTTACTGACTTCATTTTTTAGTTTTTTAAATAATTTTATAATAATTTTATCATTTAATAATCTATTACTTAGAAAAAAATTAAAAATATTTTTTCTAGTATAATTTTTTATTCGCATTAATATATAAAAAATACAATAATATCCACAAGTAGTAGAAAAATAATGTTGTAGTGGAATTTGATTAAATATAAATTTGTTACCATTTAATTTAAAGAAAGAATATATTTCTTTATGATATGGTTTTCTACCAAAAGAATCAAAATATTCTATAGGTCCAGTGAGTGGTAAATAGATAGCAAACCAATGCTCACCAGGCTGAAATGATTTGTGTGTGTTAACAATAAATGCACAAGGCTTTTTAGTTTTTAAATAAGTTATTTGATTTAAAGCTATACACCACAAAACTGATTTTTAACTATTTTATCTCGTTTTATATAATTTAATATCTGATAAGTATTCATGTTTAGTAATCAGTTGTTATATTTCTATTTTCATCAATTTCAATAGTATTATCAAAAACAGCATAACAAATTAATTTAATAGCGTTAGCTAAATTTTCTGAAAATTTTAAATAAACATTAATATATCCACTTTTAGGTAAATTTATGTATTTGTCACTAAAACTAAAATCATTATTCAAGTTAAACGCATATAAACATAATCCATTTTTATAATTTTTAACATCTATAGGAGATGGATTATTAACAAAGCTATAGCCCAAATTTAACAATACCTAATATAATTTTACTAGGCAATTGACCAAGAAATAAATTATCTATATTAAAAGATGACTGTCCTTGTGTTAAGTTAATTACTTTAATATTAGGTCGTTTTACTGGATATAATGCATTAGATATTCGTAATGCTTGTGCATGTGCATTAAGTAAACTTGGAGTTACTTTTACTTTTCGAGCAAAAATACTCATATCAGTAATTTTTAATAATGGATATTGATCTGCTGTCATTGCTGCTTGTTGTGAAACTGTTGGCCATCTTTCATTTGCTTTTGTAAATTCTAATTTTATAGGAACACCACTTATAAGTAATTTGTTTGAAGTAAATATTGGTCCATGTAATCTCCCATAAAATTGCATTACTTTACTAGAATTACATAAAGTAACTAAATGTTCATTTGGATTTTCATAATTATAAGCAGGTGTCCAAAATGTTGTAACAAATCCCGATGGAGTAACACTACCGTTTGAAAAATTCGATTGTTTAGTAACAGCCTCAATAAATGCCATGTAATTATAATTTTGAGCAGCCTGACTAACTAAAGTCGATCCTAAATAAATAGCTAGTTGATCAAAAGATGTGTTCAAAATGTAATTAGTAGGTGCAAAATTATTTATTGCTGCAGCAAAATTTGTTCCATCTCTATTTGTTACTTTACATGTTAGCATTAAATAAATATTTTGCATATCAATATATTCGTCAGCTGATGCTTGAATTTCAAAATCAATTGTATTTGATTCAAGAACATTTGATTTTGGTTGGTATTCAAGTAATTGTTGACTTTCAATAGCTCCTTGAAATTTAACTTTTTCAAACAAATTTAATTCTTCTTTTAAAATTTCTGTTGCCATTTTTAATTAAAAATATTTAGTTTCCGCGTTTTCTTACGTTTTGTAAATTTTTTCTTTAATTTTCTTTGTGGTCGTTTTTGTATTGATTTACGATTTTTTTTATTTAAACGAAATTTATTAATGAATTTTTTATTTTTAACTTTTTTTATTTTTGAGGTAAAAAATCAATATTAGATGGTTCAATTTGATTAACACCTTGTATTGGTATTCCTTCACCTTTTTGATTACTTTTTGCTTGAGCACAATAATAAGAATTATAATCCATTATTTTAAACGTGTAATCATATTGAAGGCATGAACACAACTAAATCATATATAATAGTGTGGTCTAATAATAAGTGTACCAAAAAATTTTCCTTTTCTAAAAATTAAATCATTATTTTCTTCATCAGTAATTTTCAAATTTATAGTATTAAATTGATTATATTTCAAAGGAATAAAATTTTTAACATTAAAATCAAATTTTATAACTTCATCTTTTTCTGTATTATTTGTTGGAATTATTTTCAATATATTTGTTTTTTTATTTTGAAAATGTGAATCAATAATTAAATTACAATATACTATAAAATAATTTATATTTTTTGTAATACTTAAAGGCCGAATGTCACTTATTATTTCTTTTCTATCACTAAACAACTAAATTATGATACAAGTCAAATAGGATTCAACATAGTCTCCGGCGCTCCTTATATCAGGATATCAGGATGTTGTTGTATTAATCTGACTACTTTGAGCCTATTGATTGATTTTATAATAAATTGTTAATAATTTTAAAAAATAATTTTAAAAATAATTTTAAAAATAATTTAAAAAATAGCTTACCTATTTTAGAGATAATGGTTGAAAAAACCATATTTTTTCAATATATTTGGATATATTATTTAAAAAAACTTTTTTTTATGAACAATATTTATGTGTTCTAATAAAACCATATCATTTTCGTTTTTTTTAAAACACAATTTACACATGTAATATTTTTTATTATATACATGCCTCTTATCTGACCAAGTTAGTTTCTCCCGGTCCAATTTTTTTAACTTTGAAAAATATGGTTTACTTTTCATTTTTCAATTAAATAAATAAAAAAATTTAATAAAAATTAAATTAATACAACTTTTTGTATACAATATTTAGTTTTCAAGAGAGAGAGAGAGAGAGAGAGAGAGAGAGAGAGAGAGAGAGAGAGAGAGAGAGAAAACCAAATAAAATATACTTTTGTTTATTTATTATATTTTTAATTAATATTTTATTTTAATTTATTTTCTAATTATTTTATATAATGTCCTTAATTATATATATATATATATACTATATAAAAAAATAGAGAGATTAAGTGAAAGATACAGAGAGAGAGAGAGAGATAACAGAAATAAATTTTTTTGAATTTATTTTTAATAATAATTAGTTTAAATTATGAATAATATATATATATATATATATATATATTTACAGTAGAGAGAGAGAGAGAGAGAGAGAGATAAGAATAATAAAATATTTTATTTTTTAAAAATTAATTTTAATTTTTTTAAATATATATATATATATAACAAATATATAGTAAAAGAAAGAGATAGTGAGTGGTAGAGAGAGAGAGAGAGAGAGAGAGAGAGAGAGAGAGAGAGAGAGAGAGAGAGAGAGAGAGAGAGAGAGAGAGAGAGAGTCAGAGAGAGTTAACCCAAATAAAAATAATTTTTGATAATTTTTTTTAATTTTAATTACTTTATGTTAATTAAAATTATAGTAAAAGAGAAAGAGAGAGAGAGAAAAAAGAGAGAGAGAGATAGAGAGAGATAAAAATAATTAAATATTTTTATCTCTCTCTATGTTCCTTATATCAGGATTGATATCATGAGCGATCCTTATAGCAGTCTACATCAGTTTTGTTATCGTATATACCTTTTTCCAGACTCTCGGGTGACATCCATTTAACGGGTAATTTAGTCTTTTGATTATCACTTTTGTAATAATCTTTATTAAACAAATCCCTCGATAAACCAAAGTCTGCTATTTTGACTAATAATTTATCGTCGATAAGACAGTTACGAGCGGCCAAATCCCGGTGAATGATATGATGTTCCGATAGATAAGACATACCTATTATATTTAATATATGATAAATAATTTTTACATAAAAATTATTATTAATAAAAATTATGGACCTTTTGCTGCGTCGATGGCAAACATGAGTAACATTCTTACTGTTGGAGAAATGCTATCATTTCTAATATGAGTTAAAATTAATTATTTATTATATATAAATAATAAAAATGCCAAAATTTAGTTTAATTTTCATAAAATTGTCAAATTGGGGATTTATATAAAATTAGACATTAGGATACTTATAATAGATTTATTATAGAAGTTGCATACTGTTTACAAAATTTATATTAAATTTTTATAAAATATTAATGTTTTACATTTAGTAATAAATAATTTAATATCTGTATAAACTATACAGCATATTTGATATTTTACAATATCTATTATAATTATCAATTTTATGCAAATATGATAAAATAAAAATATTTGTATTAATGAAACAATATACATTATATCAAAAATTTTTTATTGTAAATTGATAACTAGAATAAATGTATATTATAATTATATTTTATAAAACTTAAAAATAACTAATAATTGTAAAAATATTGTTAATTTACAAGATTATTGATAAAATTATGATTATTATAATGTCTTGTTTAACAAATTCAGTCAATAATATCAAACAGTTTGTGATTATATTGTATACATTATGTGCTATCATATCATCAATGGATAGTATAATATCACCGGAAGGGTGTGGTGTGGGCCGCGAGTCAGTGCTGATGAACGGCCAGTGTTTCCGCTGGTATGCAAACTATACACAACAACAGGACATACAGTTTGGACGATCGGCCAAACCGGGAGAAGTGCCGTTTGTGGCATATATTTACAAAAGAAAAAAATGGTGGATATTTGATAATAGTTACAGGTTAGTTAATAAATTATTATATTGTCTAATAATATATTCAGTATATATACTGTATAATTAGAGAATAAAATAAATTTATAATATATATATATATATATAGAAAATATTTATAAATAATATATATATAGAAATTTTTTAGTTACTGTTCGGGTTCAATATTAAATGATCGATGGATTATAACAGCAGCACATTGTATATATATGTATGTAATTTGATAATAAAAAAATTATAATACAAAAGTTAAATATTTTTTTAAAAATACTTATAAATATAATAATTACATTACATTTTTTTTAAAGCAATGGCTACTACATTGACAAATCAGATATTACTGTATATCCCGGCATACAATCCATCCAACAATTACCGCGCGGTTATAGTGTGGACCAGTTGTACGCCTATCCAGACTATATGAGTGGCAAAGAAGTTAATTCTGATATCGGATTAATTAAATTGAAACAATGGATACCACTTTCAACCACAACTAGCCATACGTTGTTTAGACCTATTAATGCCATTTGTTTGCCCAGTAATAGTAGGAATAGTAGTAACGATAGATATTCAGGAAAATCTGTTATTATTAATCAGTTGGCACTGGTAGCTGGTTTCGGTGCTTATGATAATGACGGCCATATAGCGGTTGATCGGTTACATATGGGTTGGGTATATCTAGTCAACAATAATAATAATAATGATGATTTAAACTATTATGTGACACGTTATCCCAGATATAATGGTACAGTAATATGCAGTGTAAGTTATTAATTATTTTTATTATTATTATTTTAAAAAAATTAATATTTTTAATTTTTTTGTTTAATTAGAAATTAGCTAAAACTATCTTAATTTTTTTCAATATAATATCACTGAAAAATAATAAAATACAAGATTTTTAAAAAAAATAAAATATATATATTGAATATAATATTCATTCATGAAAATCACATCTACTGTACACTTAATTACACTAATCTAACAAACATTTTAAAATTTCTATTAAAAACAAGTGCTTTTAAATTGAATTTAAAATACAATAACTTATTATTATTACTAGTATAACATGATTGCATAGACATACATATTTATAGGATAATTTAAGGTTGTATTTAATTTTTAATTATTTTTATTATCAAAATTATCTAGTTAATATACTATACTGATACTAGTATTTTTATATTGATTCAGTATTAGATTCAGTCATATAATTTTTAATTTAAAAAATTTAATTTATATTAATATTAGACAATAAAATTTTATTATATGAAAGTTTAGTTTCGTTGGCAATGCTTTACAGTATTTTCATTGCAGGAAATTTTTACTGTACTATAAATGGCTCAATAATAATAATAATAAAATATTTATATTAATTTTTTTTAATTGGAGATAATATTTTAATAAACTATTCTTATAATTATTATATTTTAAAAAAATAGTATAAATATTTTATGAAACAATTAACAATTATATAGAATAATTTAAATATTAATTAAAAACAATTTATAGGGTGATTCTGGTGGTCCACTGTATCAGTATATTAACGGTAGGGCAGTGCTCATTGGTATAGCTCAAGGCACTGACAAACCTTATACCACTTGTTTGGATCCAAATGATAACAATAATATTATGTCTTTTGTACGCATTTTACCGCATTTGGATTGGATTACAAACATTGTATCTAATAATTAGCTAATTATATGTTGTTTTTTAAAAAATAATTTTTTGGTTAATTAGATATAGATAACAAAATATTATTAAAACTTTAAATAGACAATATTTTTTTTTAAAATTTAATTTATTATTATTATATAATTATTATTCTAACAATTAAACTATAATTACTAGATTAGAATTTGTTTATAATTTTATAATTTTGTTTACCGTATAACAATAAATTTAATTATATATATTTAGTCTAATAACTAAATAATAATATCAACAACAAAAAATACAATTTGTTTCAATTTTGATTATATTTATGAACTTTTGTTATAAAACAAAATTAATATATCCTTAATTAATACAAATAAATTTTTACTAATTAAATAATATAAATAAACACCAAATATAATATAATGAAATATAAATTGATTTAGATATTAATTAATTAATTAATAGTTAAATCGTTGCTATCAATGGTATAATTAATATGTCAAGTGTTGTCGATATCTACTGATTCTTGTGAATTATTTACCAAATTTTTCAAATTATTGTTTCAAAAAACCAACCACTAGTTCAGCAAAATGTTGGTCTCAGTTGTCCCGATTGTCAGACCAACAGCGCAACAATACATTTACGTATAGAGACTATTTGCGGACAATTTGCGGTAGTTTAGGCAAACGGTAGGTTTGCGATCTCCTAATTGGAAACATTAGGATATGGTGTCCATTCCTCGGGTAAACAGTTAACCCATACGATTACACCATAAGACTAGACATCAGTTTTGGTATCGTATATATCTTTTTCCAGACTCTCGGGTGACATCCATTTAACCGGTAGTTTACTCTTTTGATTATGACTTTTGTTTTTAATCCTTATTAAAATAAATCTATCGATAAACCAAAGTCACTGCTATTTTGACTAATAATTTATCGTCGATAAGACAGTTACGTAAAATAATAATTATTATTAAAAAAAATTAGATAATACTAATAAGTTATGATTAAATCAAAACAGTTAATACAAAAGATACAAAATGCTGATAATTGATTATTTTATTTTTATACTATATTACAAACTTTTTTTTAAAAAAATAGTTTTAATAAAAAAAACTTAATATTAATTTATAAACAAAAACATATCCAATACAAATTTGGATTTAATAATTAACATCATTATTATCAGTACATTATAATGTTCTACATTTAAATACATAATTTTTATCGAAAATTAATTAATTTAAAATAATAATAATATATTAAAATATAACCATTTTTTGTATAATCAAGTTTTTGAAATAACAGCAGCCTATAGAAATAAAATTAAATAATTAATAACTAAATTTAAATAAATAATTTATACCCCATATCCATAAAATTTATCCGGCATTGATTGTGTATAATACCATATATTTGAATTATAATCATATACTTCAACAGTTTCCGTAAAATTAGTTACTAAATTGATATTAAATATAATACCAAAAAAAAAAATAAATAAATAATAATAATGTTAATACACTGATGATATTAAAGTAATAAATTTTAATAATTAATTTTACAATACCAGTTCCTCCACCCAAAGCATATAATATATCATTGAAAACAATTAGCTTAAAAAATCGTCTACCAGTTATCATTGATGCTAAATTAATTAAGTTATTAAAATTATTTTTGTTGTCGATTTGTTTAGTTAAATATTTAAAAATATTTTGCTAAACCAATTGTTGTCCATTGATTTGTTTTGGGATCATATGTTTCGCACGATTCATATGTTGTAACATTTATATCCTCACCGCCGCAAACATATATATTGCCCATAAATGATGCCGAACCAAACATATATCTAGGTTAATTATTTTTTGTTTTTTTTTGTAAAAAATTAATACTAATAAAACCAATAATATATATATAAGGGTTAAGCTAGGTTTTGAATTTTAGGGTGGTAGGGGATAAGGCCAAATCAGGGTAAAATTAACAAAATACTCAAAAAAATCTTGGGGGGGGAGTATTGGGTGAGGTTAGATTTTTATAGCATTTATAAACAGCAATTTTTTCAAAAATCCAGAGTTAAGAGTGGGGTAAAGAGAAAATTCCCGAATATTCCAATGTAAATTCCATAAATTTCCCATAAGTTCACGTATAAATTCCCAGGAAAATAGGTAAAATTACTAAAAATATAAAAAAATAAGAGTTATAAAAATTATTACCTTTTTCTAAGCATAGGTTTTATTTGTGTCCATTTATTCGAATATGTATCATATCTTTCCACTGAATTTAAATAGTAATCCCTATCATTATAACCGCCGATAGCATATAATAAGCCTTCGTGTGCTACCAGTGCCAGACCACGCCTTTCCGTATTCATTGATACCATTTCATACCATTGATCGTTAATCGGTGAATAATATTCACAAAATTTAGAAACGTTTACTAAATTTAGAATTTAAAATTAGATTTTAATAATTATAAATATACTATTTATCAAATTATATTATTTATTTAAAATAATAATAATATGCTATAAAAAACTAATATAATGCCCAATAATTGTTAAATAAATTTAATTACCATTTAATCCTCCACATGCATAAATTGAATTATTCATTACTGTTGCATCAAATTGCCTATATAATTGTAAATATATAAAGTATAAAAAGTTAAAAACAATAATTCATACTTTAGATTAAAGATATAAATTTTAAAAAATTAAAGTAAAAATTTTTGTATACTCGCGTATTATTATCATCGATGCAACCGATTTCCATGTATTTGTTTGCATATCATACGCTTCAACGCTATTAAGCCTTCCGTGAATCTTCAATTAAGGTTTTTTTTTTAAAAAAAAATAATAAATCAATATATTTGTTAGATAACTTTAATTTCAATATTAAAACTAACAATTATATACATATACTGAATATATATATATATAATTTTAACTAAATTATTTGTATAATATTTAGATAGAATCTTAAACAGCATGACGATTCTATTAATTACAACAAACTTATCAACAATATGTTGACTTAAAAAATGACCAAGTGGCAAAGTGGTAGATAATTTTAATATGAATAAAATTGTAATTAGTCATTTATTAATTAATTGTATGATTTGTTAGTCTGATTGCAGTCGTCAAATGATTAATCAAATTTTTGTATATACATTTTGCAATTGCAAAATGTTGCATATACTACAATTAATTAAAAATAAATGACCAATTACAACTTTATTCAGATTTTATAAATTATCTACAACACTGCCATCACTTTTTTTTAATTCAAACGTATTGTTGACCAGATAATTGTAATTAATAGCATCGCCGCTATCATCGCCGCCGACGCCGCCGCTGTTTAAGACTCATTCTCTCAAATATTTACATACATTATAGCCGCCCATTGCATACAATTTTGAATCGTATGAAACTAAACCATAATAGTTGCGTTCAGTGGACATGGATTGTATGGTTTGCCAGACACTGGTGTGTTGGTTGTATTTATAACAATTTAATCTAATATTTGTACCATTATATCCCCCACATATATAGATTGAATTATCCGATAAATTAACGGTTTGCTAATTAACAAAAATAAATGTATTAAAATGTATTTATAATTAACTATTAATTTTAAAATAAAAACAATAATTAATTTACATTAAATGATTCAGTTAAGTTATTAGTTATAATTGATATGATTAGAATTGAATTGAGCAATATCAATTTATATATTAGATACATTTTTATTCAACAACAAAAAACAATTAATTATTTAAAATAATAGTAATTATAAATATATAAATAATTCAATTTGTGTTTTTAACTTAAAACTAACTTAATTAACTTTGAAAATATAATAAAAATTAAAATAAACTATTTATATACAGTATATATACTATTATTAAAGTAATTAAATATACAATGTTCAAGTATTTATTAATTAATTAATTAAAAATCTTGTTTGAAGTATTGATAAAATAATATTTCATTATTTTTTAAGTACTTTATCAAACATTTATAAGTGTTTTTTTTTGCATTATATTGTTATAATTATCTAATAATAATTATTATTATTTATAGTTTCAATAAAAGAAATTAATAATTATTAATTAAAAATATTAAAAATATATATTAATTAATTTTTTTTAAAAAGTTAAGCCTATTAAAGTTAAAATTTCCTATCTTTAAATACATTTTTTTGTTTGTTGAAGACATCCAACTGTCCTCAAATACCGATTATTTAGATTATAATTTTATATTTAATTCCTATTTTAATATCTATTTCATTGTAATTCACTAATCCTTATATTTACATTTGATATTACTTTTGACCGATTGTTAACCATTTACCTGTATATCCTGGTCAGTGACACCAATCACTGGCACCTCACTGTCCAACATATCACATACTCAACCGTTTTATATTCAAATAGTCCAATGACTACCTTTCCCTCCAATCCATTACCTGTATATTCACTCCACTATAAATACAGTACAACTACTGTATTCATTAGTCAGTACACTTCACAGTCTGTCAGTCAGTACATTTCATACCTCACAGTCAGTCACAGTCACTGCCACTGTATCTCATACCTGAGCCCAGTCTCATAGTCACTACTAATGTACATTATAACCTCTTTTACCGATTCATATACCGATTTATATCCATATCTTATACCATTGTTTAATTGATACCGTTTTGTAATAAAAGTCTTTAACTTAAACTTGTGTTCAACTTCATTGGCAATCTCTACCATCGTGTGCAAGGATTTGGATCATAATTGGCCACCACTTGGTTACCACAGCTGCACAGTGATCACACCTATCATCCGAGAAGTCCTCTAAAGACCTATTGGGTAATCTCACTCCGTGTATCGGGTATTAACAGTCAAGTATTGGTCTCATACTGACCCACGCTGCATACCTGACCGGCTAATCAGTACCGTGTATTGATTTACCGATAATTAATTAACGGTACACAACAACAACAGGCACAGACAATAGGATCAGCATCAGATCCCTGATCGTGTCACATGTTAATTATTTTTTTTAATTTAAATTATATTTTAAATATTGCAGTTTATAAAAAAATATTTATTTATTTTAGTTTTTAGTTTACAGGTAAATAAATTATTGGTTGAAAAAATGAATAATTTCTAATCAAATTGTTTCCATAATAAATAAATTCAAATGTTATATATATCGATATATATAAATGTACCTTGAACTTATTAATTAATAACTTTTAACGTTAAACAACATTTATCTAATTATTCTATTAATATCTGAATAAGCTATTTAGTACTTAATTTAATAATATATTGATAAAAATTATTTATAATTATTTTATTGATATAAATTCAATGCAGTTATTTTTTCTTTTATTAAATTGATAATTAACAACAACAAAATTATTTAATTATTATTTAACTATAATTATATATATAACTATACAGTTCTAAATTATAATACTATTTAAAGTTTTATTATCAAATATATTTAAGAATCATTTAATATTATTTAAGAAATATTATTTTTTTTWAAATTAATATTAGTTATTTATAACTTTGAAATTAAATTCTAAAATATAAAACTATAAAAATACCTTGAACATATGAAAAATGACAATAAAATTTATTATCTTTTATTATTAGTATTTTCAGCATTAAAATATTATATATTTGTTTTTTATCATCATGAATATAAAGCTATTAAATATTTCAATATGAAAACAAAATATTTATATACAATATATATAACAGAAGAAAATAAAAACTATTTTTTTAAAAATTATTTTTAATATTTTTTAACTTTATACACAATATTATCAAATAAAATAGCGTTAAACAAATTTTGCAAGTATTTATCGAAATTTTATAATATAGTTAAAATTAGTAATTTTTAAACATAAATAATTTTGTATTAAATTTTAAACAAAATATTGAATACCAGTTAATATTACAAATTTTATAGATTTAATTGTAATTGAATAATCCTAAATAAATACAGTAATATATTTTTTTAATTAATTAGTATTTAATATTATATATAACTATTCCAAACATAAATAAATTAAAAACATCCAATACAAATTTGATTTAATAATTAACATAGCTGATATCATTATTATTAATAACATAGTTAGTAGATAATTTTACTAAATTTTAACAAATGTCATGCATTTTTATTTTATTTTATATCTTAATAAACTTAATTTAAATACATTTTTTTGAAAAATAATTAATTTAATTAATAATAATATAGTAAAATATAACGATTTTTTTATATAATCAAATTTTTGTAATAACAGCAGCCTATAGAAATAAAATTAAATATTTAATAACTAAATTTAAATAAATAGTAATTATTACTCCATATCCCCAAAGTTTATCCGGCAATGATTGTGTATAATACCATTTATTTGAATTATAATCATAAACTTCAACAGTTTCCGTAATATTAGTTTCTAAATTTATATTAAAAATAATAATAATGTTAATACACTGATGATATTTAAGTAAATAATTAAATAATTAATTTTAACAATACCTGATATTAGTCCACCCAAAGCATACAATATATCATTGAAAACAATTAGTTTAAAATATCGTCTACCAGTTAACATTGATGCTAAATTAATTAAATTTAATTAATTAATTTTTTATTTGTTAAGTTTAGATATAATAAGTTTAGAATAGATATAAATTAAAAAATATTTTGCTAAACCAATTGTTGTCCATTGATTTGTTTTGGGATCATATGTTTCACACGATTCATATATTGTTGTATTTATACCCTCACCACCGCAAACATATATATTGCCCATAAATGAAGCCGAACCAAACATATATCTAGGTTAATTATTTTATTTGTTTGTTTGTAAAAAATTTAAAAAAAATTAATACTAATAAAGCCAATAAATAACCTATATATATATATATACTGTACTTTTAATTCTAATTAAGAACATTAAAAATTATTTTTTTAAATAAAAATAAATTATATTATTTAACAATTTTCGAAAAGTTTCTTAAATCTATCAAAAGTTTTTTACTACTTTATATATATATATATATATATATTTTTATGTGTGTTCATTGAGCACCGATAGGTATTTTTTTWAAAAAATAGAAACTATTACCTTGGTATAAGCATAGGTTTTATTTGTGTCCATTTATTTGAATATGTATCATATCTTTCTACTGAATTTAAATAGTAATCCCTATCATTATAACCGCCGATAGCATATAATAAGCCTTCGTGTGCTACCAGTGCCAGACCACGCCTTTCCGTATTCATTGATACCATTTCATACCATTGATCGTTAATCGTTGAATAATATTCACAAAATTTGAAAACGTTTACTAAATTAATAAATTATATATTAAATATATTATTTATTATTATTATTTATTTTTAAAAAAACCTAATAAATGCCTACTAATTATTAATCAAATTTAATTACCATTTAATCCTCCRCAWGCATAAATTGAATTATTCATTACTGTTGCATCAAATTGTCTTTATAATTAGATAGATATATACAATATATAAGAAGGCGGTCAATCGATCATGAGCGGCGTATTTTTTGAATAACTTTTAAACGGTTAGAGATAATTTAATTCTGTAAAATACATTTAAGAATATCATATCGACCACACTTAATATATACACAATCACAAAACTAGGATGACCAGATATACAAAATATCGGGACCAATGAAAGACACTATGCTACAGGTCAAACTACAACAGACTAATTTTTTATGACAATGTAAATTTGTAGTCAAGAAATAATAGTTTAATATAAAAAAAGAATCATCAAAATCGGATTGGTACTTTTATTTTTATACCTTGTTAAATTTGTCATAAATCACATTGTATAAAATTGTCTAAAATAAAATTGACGTTATTTGTAAATATTATATACTTATTAAATGAAGATTCTAATCACTATCACTAAATCTAAAAACAAAATTTTAATATGTCGACTAGTTTTCGAAATAATCGACTTTGAATATAAATTATAATATCAAATTACAATAGTGTAATTTATATTGAAAGTCGATTATTTCGTAAACTAGTCGACATAATAAAATTTTGTTTTTAGAAATAATAATATAATTGAAAATTTAATCTTCTAAATATATAATAGTCATAAATAACGTCAATTTTATTTTAGACAATTTTATACAATGTGATTTATGACAAATTTAACAAGGTATAAAAATAAAAGTATCAATCCGATTTTGATGATTCTTTTTTATATTAAACTATTATTTCTTGACTACAAATTTACATTGTCATAAAAAATTAGTCTGTTATAGTTTGACCTGTAGCATAGTGTCTTGCGTTGGTCCCGATATTTTGTATATCTAGTCATCTTAGTTTTGTGATTTCGTGTATATTAAGTGTGGTCGATATGATATTTTTAAATGTATTTTACAGATTTAAATTATGTCTTACCGTTCAAAAGTTATTCAAAAAATACGCCGCTCAAGATCGATTGACCGCCTTCTTATATATATATATATATATATATATATATATATATATAGTATATATATTAAGTTAAAAACAAAAAAAACAATTTAGATTTTTATTAAAGATATTTTTTTAAATACAGTAACAATATCTGTATACTCGCGTATTATTATCATCGATGCAACCGATTTCCATGTATTTGTTTGCGTATCATATGTTTCAACACTATTAAGACTTCCATGAATCTTAAATTATTGTATTTTTAAAAAATCATAAATTAATATGTAATTTAAAATTTTAAAAACAACAATTATTTACTAGATATATATAATTTTTTACTTAATTATTTGTATAATATTTAGATTGAATCTTAAACAATGGCGGCGGCGGGGGTGCTATTGATTACTATTATCTGGTTAAAAATACGTTGAATTAAAAAAAATGACAAAGGTGACAATGGTTGTAGATAATTTTAATCTGGATAAAATTGTAATTAGTCATTTTTTAATCAATTGTATGATTTGTTAGTTAATTGCAGTCGACTATCATTTTTATAAATTCATTTATAAACAGTCGACTGTAAATTATCTTGCATATAATACAATTAATTGATTAAAAAAATGACCTATTACAACTATCTATACAAAAAATTATCTACAACATTCCCCTTGGTCACTTTTTTTTTAATTCAAACGTATTGTTGACCAGATAATTGTAATTAATAGTATCGCCGCTATTATCGCCGTTTAAGACTCTCTCTCTCTCTCTCACAAATATTTACATACATTATTGCCGGCCATTGCATACAATCTTGAATCCAATGAAATTAAGCCATAAGTATTGCGTTCAGTGGACATGGATTCAATGGTTTGCCATACACTGGTGTGTTGGTTGTATTTATAACAATTTAATCTAATACCTGTACCATCACATCCACCACATATATAGATTGAATTATCAGATAAATTAACGGTTTG